ATAAATTATTTGATCTTCCGGGACTGTTGACTTCCAGCAACATTCCCCTTCTTACTACCTTCTTCTGGAGTAGTAACACTTCACTTATGTGACCACTATTTCCCCAATGAATCAAGCCAAAGCTAATTATGGATTGAAAATATGCAGAGTAGGCTATCCCAATGTAAGGTTCAGGTACAACTCCCATAAGATTTATAAGCAAACAGATTACTCTGGACAGCATTGCACAAACTTAATCTACTTGAGGAAACCAGCTTGAAAATTTAAAATTTTTTATTCCCAGAACTGTAATGACATTTTCTCTGTTTACATTCTGTGACTACTGGAATGTTTTTAAGACTGAAGCGTGGTGTTGATGGAAATTGAAAAAAAATTTTGTATACACCAAAGTTTCATCTACTATTATAAGTCAAACTGATCTAAATATTGCAAGTAAACCTAAGCCTACTTAATGTAATGAACAGAGAAAATTTAATTTTTACAGTAGGATGCTCAGTAAGCCATGTTTGATTTGACTGTGACTGGTCCATAGCGATGACCAGAACAACTTTAGATGCCAATGGTAGAAAACATATGTACCAAACTTTTGTTTTGTTCTTGTTTAAAATTCCCCAAAAGAAAAGAAAACCTCAATTTAGCGCCCAGTCTCAAATACTTGTACACTCTGTATGGATGCCTAGAATGCCTATATGAAAGAGCTGACATGTGGATATTCTAGCACAGAATAATTATACCCAATGTCCTAAACACAAACTACCTTTTCGAGCCCCATCAACTGATAGTCATTAGTATACAGGAAAGGAAGTTCCAGCTACGCTATACCAGTTGTCAAGGTTTAGTGAGTCACATTGTTTGTGTTCACCTAACATTAACATTGTGTTCATCAGGCACACTTCCTCATCACATCTGAACAGCTCGGATGAATATTTTTGTTGTTCACTGAATATCTTTTTATATTGTGCTATTCAATAGTATATTATTTTGACAAAACTTCGTGTAATGCATATGCAGTTACCAGCGGACCGGTATATAGCCTAGGCTATTTGGATTGTAAAAGCAATATAAAGGAAACTCACGTTTTATTTACAAATAGTTTTGCCTTTTATTATTTAAGTTTCAGTGGAATTTCTATTTATTATAATGGGAATTTTAACTTGGTAATCCAACACATTAATTTATTTTAATCGCACACATTTCTTATCTTGTTAATAAATAAAAATTAATAAAATATATTTTTTTTTGTTTTAGTTCCTATTGTAGGAATTAATATACAATTACAGGTTAATACAATGAGTAGCATTCAGCTGCAGTAGCATTAATACAGCGTTTGTAAAGAGCGTGATTAATTTCTTGGTATGAAAACTAAATCTCTCTTTAAATTAAAGTAAAACTTCAGCATGAGTATTCTCTCTAAAATACTCTCGTATGATGGATTAGCTGAAGACAGATGAGTTGGATTTAAAGGTATATTGTTTACTATAAAGAAAGATTATTTTAATACAATTAACTATAATACTAATTCAACTGAATGAATACTACTACTAGTACTACTACTACTGATGGGGCGTCACAAATCTCAGTCGATGTTTTGCCTCGTAGATTAGCCGCCTCCACTCTTCTCTATCCTCCGCCATCCGGATTTCTCCTCTGCATTGGATCACATCTTTTTTGACTTACCATCTTAATTTAGGCCTACCCAACGGACGTCTTCCTGTAGGTACGGCCTCACAAACCTCCTCTCCTAATTACCTATGTAAACTATAAAAGGGAGTGTATAAAAATTGTAAAATCCATCCTTAAATAAGAGTGAAACCAAACATTAAGTTTACGCCAGCACTTGAAATGTCACCCACACGAAACACTCATTAACATTGCTCTATTTTCCCCTATATTGAGTATCTTCATTGTAATTTTTGCTTTATAGTTCCAACTGATGCTTTCCCCTTTGTACTGTATTTCTTAACTTGCTAGTATTCTGTATAGATGGCTTGTTATAAACACATGTTACAAGTATTTTGTTGACCTTTTCCTTGTTATTTTGTCCAACCAACATAGTTATTTATCAACCCATAAGACCAATGTTAATTTTTTTTTAATTTTCAAATGAGTTGTGTAGGAAAATAAAAATTTTCCTGAGGTAGTGCCTGTCACCAATAACATTTTTAGGGCTACAAGTCCCTAATTCCAAAATTTAATCGAAATCCTTCTTCTGAATTTCAGATATACTTATATTTCAGACAGACAGACAAACAGACCTAGAGTATAGGATATATTTGAAATTTAAAATTGGATGTATCTTTAACATGGTAATACAATGAGTTCTTCCCACTAAAGATACAACATCAGATTGCTCAAACTTAAGCATAAAACAAACGGCAGTTATTAGTTTTAAGGATTTACTCAAATACATATCTAATTGATTCACTGTTGATGTTTGCACCATTTAAGTTCTGCAGACAAATTTTATAGTGTTTTGTATATAACTTACATATAATTTTATATTATAACAACAGGTCATCAGTATAAAAACTGTAGCTATATAATAAAAAAATTAAATAAATGTTGGTCTCTTTGCCTTGGCCAATCCTGCCTGTTAACCATTCATCATAATTGCCTAATGCAATTCTGTGCTAAAACTTGATATCCCCACAACTTGTACAGTATTGTGCACCCCATCACAACAATGTTCTAGCTGAGGCTGCACTAAGCAACTCATCTCAAGTGGAGTCTGTATTGGCTGATTGGATGTTTCCGCTATAAAAGGCGCGAGAATTGCTTTGGACCATCAATTGTGTCTGACCTTGGGCCTTGGACGGCTTGACCTTCACTGGCAACACAGATGCAACAGACGCCTCTCCTGCTACTATATTGAATTTGAAATATTCAAAGCAGGAGATAGGGGTTAAAGAAGTGTAAATAATTATTTCCTGTATCTATGGTGTTTATATAAGATGTAAATATTGAAAAATTGAATATTAACAAAAAAATTTAGATTGATCTTAGTAAAAGATATGCCATAAAGATTTTCTAGAGCACTTATAAAAATAATTAATTACATTAATACTTAATTCAGAAATGGCGACCATACGAATATAGGTAATTTAAGCCATTATAAATAACGATGGGACCCATATGCGAAAACTGCACATTTTAGGGATCAAAACTTAATTCCAAGGTATAAATAACATTGCAAAAAATAACATTGCAATACCCTAGCATAAGTATAGTACGTTTTCAAAATATAGATCTACACCAAAAAGACTGAAGATGATTTACTTACCTCAATCAGGTTGTAATAAAAAAAAATAGCCTATTTAAAAAACATCATAAACTGCTTTGTGTGTCCCTTGTTTACAATCTGACAGTGGTAAGCATTCAACAGAAGGATCAGCTGTTAGGGATTACAATTCATAAAGAAAGTTGGTCATCAACAATGGATCTTTAGCAAGTGAACTCTAGAAATAATTTAAACACAAGGAAGGCAAAGCTCTTAAGGAATACTTTTTTTGTTACTATTTGCAGGTAGGTACACTTCATCATAAGCTTTTTGATTCCACTTTTTATGAAAAAAGAACATAGTTGAGTGAGCCAGGCATAATCCACTAGTGTCTACAATTCTATTCATTACTTTATTTTTGTTGCTGATGTTTTGATGGATACCTAATAACAGTTGCTATAGCTCACAATAAGTCGTTCCATAAGTTTGATTTGGTAAAAAGTTTGTGTATCGACAGAAATTAACAAAACAGCAATTTACATCATCAAAATCTGTCGCTGTCGGTGGCTCGAACATCAACTATGATGAATTTCATAAAAATTCTGGTGACAACTTTAACATGGGAATGGAATGTCTAGTTGTATCAATAGTCAAAAGTACAACTTCTTAAGAGTGTTAACAAATTTTTAAGCCCTTTCTATGTTAAAACAAACCTTCATTGTCGATGTTAGCCTCCGGATTACCAAATAATAATAAAAAAGGTTGGTTTAAACAGTTGATCAAGCAAAAATAGCCTTTCAGTACAAGGACATAAAACTAAAACTTTGTAAAACTATTGAAAAAGTTCAATGTAACATGCCTGCAAAATAACTTGGTTCCAAAATATATAAATGTGAAGGTTACCACAAGTGTTGCGTATCTGTGTTTGTGTCGTGTTTAAATGTTTATCTATTTTCATGTTAAATATGAAACTCTTCATAAATAAAGAAAGAAAACGTCCTTGTACAGCCTGATGATGGCTCCACATAGGAGCCCAATCTAGTTGCATTTTCAAAAAGATTGGATTGCCTAATAACAGGTATTTAAACATTTTTTGTAAAACAAACCTGAATATTCCCAGTGTCATTTAAATACATACAGTACATTGTTAACTGTATTTTTAAATGTGCAATTTTGTAACAATAACACCCAATCAAATGTCTACTAATATTTGACATTATTTATTGTATAAACGGATATAAAAAGAACTGTAACTTAAATAATAATAAATAGGCCTACTGTAAACTTTATATTGTAATGACAAATTAATAATCAAGGCCCACCGAAGCATAAGATACTGTTAAAAGCATTTCAGATCCAAACAACAAATTAAGAAATTGTAACTTGAATAAATGTATTATTACGCAATTTTTTTAACACAAAACAATCAAGTTACAGTATTTGAAAAAAAATATTACTAAACAACAGTCACTAGAGAACATTTTTCAAATTTATTGTTATTTTGTCCTATACGTGATAACTAAACTAGTTTTATCGATAAAAAACCTAAGTTATTACAAGACTCTATCAAGTATGTTTTAATCCATTACTAACAAAGGTTGACCTGTATTTTTATATTTATTGTATTGTTGATCTCTATACAGGGCCAATGTAGGATACCAGTTAATCAGCTGATCAACAGTGATACTGGTTAATAAACTGCAAATCAGCTGATCAATAGTGATACTGGTTAAGAAGCTGCAAATCAGCTAATCAACAATGTATAATCTGGCCAGTGACCTCTGGTGGTGACCCACTAAACTGGTGAGTGTACCTAGCATCAGCCTGACCAGTCAGTCTCGTCATGGCAGCAGGCAAGATATCTCTTCTCTCCATCCTTCTGGTGGCCTTAGTGGCTGAATCCATTGCACAGACTTGCAATGCAGTCAACAAAAAGGTTTGTAACCTGTAGATTCAATATTGTTAACCACATTTGCGAGTTCCGTATCTGTAGTTTATTGTTAATAAACATTTTAGTAGGTAATCAAGTACCATACTTTTCTTGGATTCTATATTATTATTGTACATGATGCAACATAAAGTTAAACCCCCCTACTACAAGGAGAACACCATCATTGCTTCTTTCTCTTTGTATAGTTCCATAGTTCTTATGATTCTTGTTGAACAATTTAAAACTTGCAACGACTTGATGCAGGATTGCTCTTATCCTGCATATTCAAGACTGTTAATAACTTACTCAAGAACTTTAATTAAATGTTACATGAAATTAACTTTTTTGTATTAGGCTACATAAATAAAAAACGAATACTGCTTCTTTCTTATTTTATATTTCATAGTTATAAATATGCAGTGTTGATAAAATGTAAATATCTTTACTATACTCTAAAAGTAGTTTAAAAATAAAACTTTTTGTTGATCCATCTTCCTTTTCATATTATTTAGTAATTTAATTTTCTTACGGAGTTTACTCCTTGTTTCTTTCACTCTCTATTTAATTTAGGCCTATTAATAAAAATTCTCGGTTATCCTTTCAACAATTAAAAGCCGAGGGTTTGAATGTTTATTTAACACAGAATAAAAAATTACAAACTGGATTAACACAGCAGTATGCCTACTCACTTTGTTTTGTAATTGAAGCTGGATAATATGAATGCAGAGTAAGTGTATAGAATAGGGTGGTATAACCTTTCTTATTGATTGAGATCATCTAATTTTTTAGATTGGACAGTATTTATCGAAAGTCCAATGACAAGAACAGGGTTTAAAAACTACAGACTTTCCTCAGGAATAATATGCATTATTCAAAATATAATTGAATTTTTCGATTCAGCGGTTTTTTATACATTTGACGATCTAAAGTAGCATTTTTACTCCCAAAAAAAGTAAAAATCTGCTGTTTAAACTGTTGTACATTTCTATTGTAGCAAGCGCATAATTATCGATCGATTTATTAGGTAAGGTTTTAGCTTATTGTTGCAGTCTTGTCAATAGTTCCACATATTGATGGTATAATGTACAGTGTAACAAAATCGTAAAAGACGAATGGTTGAATCATTTACTAAACAGCTGCTTATTTACATTAGCAGAATTGAAAACAATCTGGACAGGACGGATATTGTTTTGAGAGTTATCTTTACATGAAAAGAATTTTTTGATCTCTAGCTTAGTTTGTTAATGTTGCAATTTGCAATATGACAAAAAATAGAGTTCATCACACTGGTTTTCAAGCTCACGCTTGAGATCAGGTCACTTTACTACAGTGATATACTATTAATGGAACAGAATTTAAAATCAGAGTGGGACATGGACACTTTTCTATTTTAAAATTCCTTTCAGGCTTTGGCTTTAGGTTATTTTTTAGTTCATTAGGTATTTTTACTTTCTCTCCCTATACATAGTATATGGAGAAAGTATTTTTTTTTGTCAAAATTTTCGTCAATAGTTTGAGTTTTGAGTGGATTTCGAAGTGATGTCTATGTGTGTGTGTGTGTGTCTGTGTGTCTGGATGTGTACAGAGCTACAGATCACACCTAAAGTCCGATTTTTATGAAATTTGGTTTTGTTATGTAGGTAGGCCTACTAATCCATGGTATCTCCAGGCGTTTTTTTCATTTTTTTAAATTTTGATTTTAATGTGGATTTTGCTATTAAAATGGTAGAACTCCTATTTCTGTAAAAATTACGGTTCAAAAGTTATTGTAAATTATGTTACTTTCCCATTAAAAACCCCCATAAAATATGGGAAAATCGTATTTTTGAAAGAAACCGGGTTAGTTAGATTGAAATTAGTATGTCATAATACTTATAATTCCAAACAACATAATGCAACCCCCCATTGCTGTAAAAATTATGGTTCAAAAGTTATTGTAACTTGTGTTATTTTCCCATAAAACCCCATTTAAAAAACGGAAAAATGGATTTTTTGAAAAAAAAACCCGAATCTGATTGAAATCCTTCTGTTATGGTTCTTATAATTCTAAACAAAATAGTGCATCCCTTCATTCGTGTTAAAATTACTGTTCAAAAGTTAATGAAACTTTTGAGATTCTACCTATTAAATACCACAGTTATTCTCATCGCTTACCCATGACAAAGGTTGTTGACAAGCTAATGGGAGAAAGTATGTGTCAGATTGGCAGATTGCTGAGGATTTGCTGAGGTACTGTTTATTAGTTTACAAAGTGGAAAATTTAAAATAATTTATTGAAAATCTGCGGTCAGTGGAACATGTTCCTTACACCCTAAAAAATAGATACCCGATAAATACAACCCCCAGATTCTTAAGGTTTTGAGTTTGGGCTGTTATGTGTCTGCCTCATCAGGCTAAAGAGAGAAAGAGATTTATTAATCATGAGTGAGGGTTAATTAGTTAATTACGCAATATTTTTTATGATGACATATGTTCCAGTGTTCAGGCACTAATAAGGAATGCTGCTCAGGCTGTTGCCTTGGCACCAAGTGTGTGGAAGGTGAGTACAGTAGGTACTTGTAACATAAATATAACAGCCAGTATTAGGTACAAGCAGTAGTTTATTTCTTTAACTCAGGGCTCACAACTCTTTATTTGTCACAAATACTCGTAAATTTTGGCAGTTTCTTCATTCATGGTATGCAAAGCAATACCTACAAAGTAAAATCACTGGCAGTCCAGCTTGCAGAAAGAAAATCTACAAACAAAAATGTTATAACTACATTTTTTTGGACTAACAACCTAACTAACTTGACTCAAGTCAACACAAGCAAGGTTTTGTTCACCTTGTGTTGTTCATGAGCCACTAAGAAGTTGAAATATAGTTCAAATGACAAGACCTATATACAACTTTACTCTGCTGTGTCTAATTACTCTAATTGAGCCATAAATCATAAATATAAATCATTTTCTTCAATTTCATTAACAAATTTTTACTAAAATATATTATATACATGGTCAGGCAAAAGTTTTGAAATTCCTTCCTAGTGTTATAACAGAATAATTTATAAATAAAAAACTTTTTTAAAACAATACGTTTTTAAACGCAAAAAGTTTTTTATTTATAAATTATTTTCTACTTTTTAGTTTTTAATGTGTGTGGATGTTAAATCTATTTCAAGCATCTATATCAGATTAAGACAGAGGCATGTGTGAAATCTAAGGTTTATTTGTGTTTCTTTTAATATATTTATGTATTAGATTGAATGTGTGGCCTACCTACTAACTATAAATATATCAATCTTTTTAATTTATTGTTTACTTTATAGAATACTAAATAAATAACAAATGTTATTATTAACAAACACCTTTATATCTGCAGTCAGATTATCTTTATTTTGAAATTGTTTGTATAAAGAATCTCTTGGGAGCATAACTTGTACCTCTTAACCTCTGCTCTTCGAACTGTCAAATTTAAGTATTTACAGCTGACTTAAATTAATTGATATATTTACATTCTTTCAAAATGTAAACATGGAAAATTTGGAAGCCCATGGGGCGTAGCCCAAGGAAAATATGAAAGTTAAATTATATAATATTGCATTGTCATCCATTTGTGAGCTATGTTTCAAATTTCAAGTCTCCAGCTCATCGGGAACTTCGTTTAAAATTGATATCAAAATTTGTAGGAAAGCGACTAGTGAGCTAATTAAAACAAGCCCATGGGGCGTAGCCCAAGGGAAATATGAAAATTAAATGATATAATATTGCATTGTCATCCATTTGTGAGCTATGTTTCAAATTTCAAGTCTCCAGCTCATCGGGAACTTCGTTTAAAATTGATATCAAAATTTGTAGGAAAGCGACTAGTGAGCTAATAAAAACAAGCCCATGGAGTGTAGCCCAAGGGAAATATGAAAATTAAAGATATATTGCATTGTCATCCATTTGTGAGCTATGTTTCAAGTTTCAAGTCTCTAGCTCATGGGGAACTTAGTATAAAATTGATTGCAAAATTTGTACCGGACAAGAAAGCGAGCTAATAAAAACGTTTAAAAAATTAAAAACTTAGTCTTGTTGGTCAGTATGACAATTAATTTTGCTGGGAATCCCAAAATGGTACATTTCAGGGACAACTTTAAGATTTTAAATATAAAGCTTCATCCAGCTACATACAATTTTAAAGGCCTATTTGAAGAAGAATATCAGCGAAAAATAGAAGTCTCTATCCCAATCAAGTATGACTTTTGAAAAAACGCCTAAAATATATTTGCATGGTTTCCCTGAATAAACAATAATATGTTTATGTGGATTGGTTAAAACAAACACATTTCCTCTCTTGTTGCCCTTGTAATGTTTCTAGAGTTTCTATTCTTATCATTTACTAAATGTTTTTACTTGCCAAACAATAAATAAGACCACAACATGACCCCTTGCACTTTGAATTTGTTAATAATTAAAGGTTTCCCAGTAATATTTAGATGGAAAAACATCCTAAATCAATTTTTCCTCTATTACTATTTGATAACATTTTAAAAACTCACTACCCTTTAAAATTAATTACTTTTTATCAGATTTTCAAAGTAACATAATAAAGTTTCAAAACATACAATTCTAAATCATGAGTCTGCTGATTACAGATGCTATAACCTATGTATGGGTTGTAAATAGGAAATTTTATGTTACTGCCTTTGATGTTATGGCTAAATGTACAGAAAAATACCACCGGCACAGCAAACCAGTAGATTATGGGAATTTCGATTAGTGTGAGATTGGACTTTTACTGAAATATTTTATATTTCCATAAACAATTCGCATTTAATCCCTCATATTTAATTCAAGTAACATTAGAGTACATTGAGGACTTAGGTTTGCTGCTGCGTGAAAAGAAAAAGTGTTTGTTTATAATAATAGAATAGAATGAAATAAATATATTTGCTGAATTTAGTAAAAATATAGCGTAAACAAGCACTGGGATTTGTAATATACCGCTTATTTCCGTAATTAATTGTAAAACAGTTTTTAACTACTCTACAAAATTGTTTGTCTTTTTAAGTTTTACATGATGGTTGCAATAAAATTGGGAATTCCATGTATTTTGGGTACAACTTTTAAAACCCCCATTTTTGGAAAAAGTCTTAAACTGTATTACCCTTTCGATGACCCAATCTTACTGGTTCACAAACTTAATCACGTTAACTCCTCTTTTAATATTCATTCCAAATTGGGTTCAAAATCTGACCAAAACTAATTTAATATTGCAGGCTACGGTATGTAATTTTTTAATGTCGTATAATTCTTCTTTTAAAACATCTTGGCCTCCGAATAATAACAATGTCGTCCTCTTCACTAGAACTACTAGATTCATCCATTGTGTGTTATCTTACTACGAAATTTAACTTTTCAATGTATCACTACTTGCTAGGCCTACTTGTAAAACTTTTATGGTGGTTTAGAGATTGCTAAAATATTCCCCAATTTACAGATCCTGTATTACAGGAGTTGCTCTTTATGAGACACTACACTGAAGATGTCCTGTATTATTTACTTTTAATACAGGAGAATTGCCTTTATTTTTTTTACAGGGAAAACTCTTTATGAAACACAAACTTGTAACTTTTTTTGTTATACAGGGATTTTACCTGTATTACAGGGCCTGTAACTTTTATGTTCAAATAAAACATACCCAGAGCTTATCACCAAGTACAACAAGTATACACCAAGTATAAGTATAGGCATTTGTAAAAAAAAAAAAAATAATAATTGAAACATGTTTCTATAAGTATAAGCTAATTTCATTTTTCTTTAGGAAAACAAATACCCGCATATGTTTACCTCTTAATCATTAATCATTATGCACACTGAGTACGTACTGTCAGATGGTTTTTGGTTTGAGGGATACCAATGGTTTTTAACCCTAACAATTTACCATTATCATTACCAATTAAGATGGGGACGCCACCACCTAGGTGTGCATTTTAACCCAAATATGAATGAATGATGAGTGTAGAATGAAATGAGATGCCTTGTACACCCACACGCAATATTATATCAGCCTACTGAAATAACTTTAAAGAGTTTAATTTACAAGTAGGTAGATGATGAATGATTATTATTGTGTGTGGTATTACGCACAATAGCATCCTCTTGCAAGGTAGCATAAAACACTTAATTTAACTGTTACAAAGCTGTATAAGGTTGCCTTAAATGTCTAATCATCTGCTTTAGGTATATTTACCGAAATTAACAGAATTGTAAGGGTTTTACTGAACATTTAACATAAGATATATGTTACTTTTCATAGAGGAATCTTACAGATGGATAAGCATTATACCTTGAATTTTAACTGAACCTTTTGACTTATTGAATTAACATTTTTATGCTGTCTGATAGCGACTCAGTGTGCACCCAAGTGCCCAGCTGACCTAGAGTTCAAGTGTAAATCAGCTGCTCAGGAGTGTTTCCTGAAGCCTGTGGCCAGCTGTTCCAAGCCTCCGTGCAAGCCAGAGCCTGCCTGTCGATTCATTCCCCCCTGCAACCGCCTCAACTGCCCCAAGGGTAAACATTGTGTGGACATCGGAGGAAACCCTCCCACTGCAGCCTGCCAGCCCGATCCCAAGACCCCGGCACCTGCGTCTTAATCTGAGTTCAGCTATGTGACTGCTGTTTGTTCATCTCACCATTAAATGTTTACTGTTAAGAAAACTTTTGTTTTTTTACTACTCATCTTCTAATTCACCGTTAATATTATGACATATTATATAATTCAAAGAAGAATAAATCCGAGACCTAACCCCACAAATGTATTTAAGAAATCGGGAATTTACAAATTATCATGTAACAACTGTAAAAAGTACTAAATATGTCAAACAGGTTGACAATTCGAAGTCAGATACAAAGACCATATGCAGGCAATAAGATCAAATAACTTGACAACGCAAAAATCCTCATACGCTGAACATATACTTTCAGACCAACCATATACTCAGATATAAATAAAAATAATAATATTCTAGATGTTGAAAATAAAGCTTGATGCCAACCCCGTACGAAGGACGGGTTCTCTGCTAGTTTTCCTATAAAAAACCTAAATTATCAAAAAGTCGTATTTTAGAAAAACCAGATATTGATTAGACAATTAATGTGTTATGGCCCCTTAAATTCTAAACAAAATGGTACAAATCACATTTTCATAAAAAAATTATGGTTAATGAGTTGTATCACCCAGCAAAAAGTTGTGTTAGTAGCCTACCCATAAAAAAAAAATCTGTTTTAAGGAAAAACCCGGTTTTTTTGATTAAAATTAATGTGTTATGGTCCTTTTAATTCTAAAAAAAAATTGTGCAATCATTGCTGAAAAAATTACGGTTCAAAATTCATTGCAACTTCTATGATTTGCCCTATAAAATATCAAAGTTACACCCACCGCTTATAAGTACCCATGTTAAAGGTTGTTAACAAGCTATTGGGAGAAAGTATGTGTCATATTGTTTATAGACCTACCGTTTATTAAGAACTAGCAGAGTGTGTCCTTCGTACGGGGTTGGCATACAAGTTAAAAATACTTATTGCAGTTATACTCAAGCTTTGCGTTTGCAATGGGGGAGGACAAAGTTTGATAAAATTTGCTTCTTTGAATTGACAGTATACTACGGTATTGCACATCTACCATAGCATTATGTTCTACCACTTCACCTAAACAATAAAAACAAAAAATAATATTACAAATTCACAAAAAATCACAAATTATTCATGACATTAAAAACTAGAACATAACTGTGAGTACAAACCATTCCCCTTTGACAGTTCTCATTGCGTATCACAGTGTTTTTTTGCTGTAGGTAGTTCAAATTAGCTTTTTACATAAATGCAAAAATAATAATTATTAACTATAATTATTATAGTGCTGCACCCTGTTGGTAAATCTTAAAACTTTTTAATGCTTTTGTATATCATAGAACCAACTTTTTTAGTTGAAACAGCTGACTAAATTATTTAATTCCATCCAAATATGAACTAGTGTATATGTTGCTCGAATTCGAGCAATTGCAAAGTATTACAGGAGTTATTTCAAAACGAATAACAGTCATATTTACAATGAGTTTAAAAGAGTCAACTCAAAGATTGCCGGTGTGTAACTTAGACCATGTTTATCTTCGTTATTGATAAACCTAAAACATTCCGGCCGGTTTCCTCCTTCTCAAAATGCCTCGCTGTACAGGCAACACAGGTCATTGATAGAGGGCCAATTGAGAACGAAAAGTCGTTTTGGGGTAGTGTTAAGGCTGTGGTACACCCCTGCCACTCCGTGGAAATGCAGAGCTTTCGTTTTACACTGATTGCATACGCTGTATATAAGTTAAGAACAAACTTAAGGTCTCGTTTGAAAGCTTAACAGTTTATCTACCTTTCCCTGTTTTTAGAATTTCTTAAAATTACTAAGTGAAGTATAAAAGACGAATCAAATTGTATGGAAATTGGGACTTTTCAAAGTAGAATTAGAGGTGCAAAAAAAATTTTTTTTAATTTTTAAAACTAGAGAAAGGTAGATTCAAGTGTGCCCTTCAATAATAAGTTTAGTTAATTTTAATAACCTAATAAATAACAGCATTAAGAGTGTAAAACAAACCGTCTGCAACCCCAAATTTTGCTGCCGTTTGGTGGTGCTCGTAGCGGCCAGACAGCGTAACTCTTGCGGCGCGCCCCACCCCTGCCTTTCCGTTTCCCCTCAACTGGTGAGGATACACGTGGTTGAATTGAAGCTTTGACATTTCGATACAGCTGTGTTTGTGAATTGTTGGAAAACATGTTTATGTTATAATTTTATTTTGTAAGTTGTTACGATGCCACCAACACGCAAAAAGAAAGGACTCTACCTCTCTTCAAAACGGAAGAAGAATTACGGAAACAATTTGAGAAAACGTCCTAAGGATAATTGTGAAAGTGTTTGGTAAGTGTACAACAATATCTTATAATTTGTAACGTTAATAAATATTTGAGTTTCACTTTGATAATTTGTTACTGTAGTTGCAATTATACTTTTCGTCTAAAGAAACCCCCAAAAAATCCCCAAATAGTCTTACTAATTTATAGTGAAAAATGAGTAGATAAGCAAATGTCAGTGTCCTAGTGTTTGTATCAGTGGAGGTTCCGAAGGGCTAAATAGGCTAAAGCCCCTCCTTGTACCCTGGAAAAATAGATTTAAACATACATTTTGTCCTTTAAACACGCAATGTTTTAAAACAGACATCAATATAGTTTTTATTAAACAAAATAAGCGACATTCTGTGGTCGCTGCGCGACAGCGAGGACGGGGAGGGGGAAACAGCTGATTTCATGTTCCTAGTAGTTGTCAAATTGTCTACAGGTAGCTGTGCTACCAGGGCTTAGACCCACAGCAGACCGGAAGTATATGCTACTAGCGAGCAGGCACTTCCCCAGACGTGGCGCTAGTCGCCACAGTCATATACACTTGGACTTGGTTGTCTGCTAGCTACTAACTTACAGTTACACTGGCATCAGCCATCAGCGGCAGCACCATTAGCCTAATTGACTATACAAACACAAGTGTTCCAGTTTATACAATCAATACTATTACTAAATTTGATACTATACATTTTGTGACACATCTATGAAATGGAGATGAGATGTGACCCCTCGGTATAGCCCCCTCCTTGACAAGGTCCTAGAACCGCCACTGCAAAGTTTGTATCATAGTGTACGTATGTCATAAATTTTTTTTTAACTTGTATAGGTAATTGTTTGTACTGTTATACTGAATTTGAACTGTCAAACGCCCTGTTTTTTTGCAATTTTCTATCTGGGATAGGGTATTGACTTTCTTGTACGAAGGGGGGGGGGGCATATAGGCATTATAGGCATAAAAATAAGCAAACGTTTTTATATTTTCATTATGTCCTAATCCTATAATTTCCCGTCTATCTGTCTGTTTATGTTTTTCTTTACTTGAATTTAACATAACACCCACCCAGTAGATTATTTGACCAATATTGTTATGTATTTTGTTCATTAGGTTTGTGTATTACAATTACACTTTTTTTTAGCAATGAAAGTAACAACTCTGCGGATGACTCTCTAAACACAAATAACATAGTAGAGAGTGCGAATACAAGTCCACCTATTACAGATGACAGTATACTTATGCAAATGGAAGAAGACAGTGATGACTCTGACTGGTTGGCGACAGTACCTACCACCAGCACACCTAACGTCTCGTAATTATTCTCTTAATAATTTTACTAATTATTATTATTCTTTGCCTTCATATTCATAGGCACTTTCTTCATGGGCAACCCCAGGTATTATTGTTATTGTTTGGCATTTCCATGAAGACATGTAACTTATTTCAAATGAAAATTATAAGCTGTAGGTACTGGCAAAATCATTTTAAAATCAGCCGATTACATTTCAATAACATGTTATGTATAATACTTTAATACTTTAATACTTTTAATACTTTTCAATGAAATGGCGACCATACAGAGTAGGTATTTTAAGCCAAGTATGAATGGAGATGAGTGTAGGATGAGTGGCGCGATCTTGTAGTCTTATTAGTGACTAAGGCCGACATATTCCTTAGACACAGCTGTTAATTAATAGCCCATACAGCTAATGGAAGCTAAGGAACCTACAGTTTAAAGTGGAATCCGAACCAAATTTCTGCCTTTGGTATTACTGTATACGAATTGGTCTAATTATCAGGATAGTACTGCGGATAGTCGTAGTACTCACCCGTGCGGACGTTAATCCACACACTGAATTGGGCAAAAAATGTTTGTTTTTAAGATAGCAAATGATATTTTCAGCCCACGGTTAGTATTTTAGCATTATTAGTCCATCATTGTTATCTATATATTAATAGGCAAGCATGTTTCTTTAAAACCTTTTTTCTCAGCTCGTGTGCATCGCAGGGAAAATCTACGCATACTGTTAGAAAGATATTTTCCTGTAGTTGTGCAGAATGCTTTTAAAAATTAAAATAGGCTAACAAATAAGAACAAAAAATTAACTTGAAAACTTCAAAAAATTAACATGGACCATATGGGTTGCCATGATGGTGACGAAATAACAACAAAATGTAAACAGAAAATCAAAACAAATGGAAGAAATTCCAATCACATGTTTTATTTACAGTGTGGGGAGAAAATAGAGAAGTCTGTACATTAATTATTTTTGGTCGAGTTTCGACCACAGGACGACCACTAGTTATTATTATTTTCTTTTCAGACATGCTTCAAGCTCTTGCAATACAGCTTATACGCCATCCAGTTCTATACAAATCAGCGGAAGGAGAATAATAGACGTTTCTTTTTTCTTAAATTCCATCCAAAAGTTGGGAACCCACGCGCCGTTTGATTGCAATTTTGCTGATATGGATATATGCCATGAGCGGCAGGTTGGCATGATGCAAGAGTACACATTCATTTGTAGGATGTGCAACAGGAAGGATAAAATAATGTCAGAAGATTGTTCTACGAAGTCCGAGTCCCTTAATCTGAACACGTCTATGGTTAGTTTAGAATTTATTTTTATAATAGTTTATTAGTTTATATTCCATTGTAATAAAATTATAATAATGATGTCCGCACAACAAAGCTCGGCAAAGGTGACTGACTAAAACTTAAGTAAACAAAGACTAAATAGAAAAAATCTCTAATACCACTTTTACTTATTTAACCAAATAA